ATATTCATTAATCGCAGATATGCTTACTATATGTGCAATTATATAGTATGCAAAAAGAATAAACATATCTGCCTTTATATAGGCTTAGCTCGGGCTAAGTTTTGTTTTCATTAAAATCGGATGCCATTGCTTCTATTCAAACAACACTATTTAAAGATATTGCATCCAACGCGGCTACGTAAGTACCTACATTGTACCTTTGGGGCACAGTTACATACAAAATAACAAATTTATTATTTGAAACCGTTTAAGTGTTACGTTTAGTACTTAAACAAATGTTAAGTAAAAATAAATACAATGAAGTTTATTTTTAATTTTAAATTGCTTAAGTTAATATCTGTAGTTTACGCAAGTAGTACATATTGAATAAAACACTTTTATCGGTTTAAAACGCAAAATGTACGCGTTAACTTATTTATCCTTATTTTATCTACGGCCCGCCAGCCGTGGTCACGGTAACTAAAAGCATCCGAAATATCGGGCCGTATTTAAAATAAATTGTAAATAAGTAACTAATACTTTTTGTTTAAGCCGTTAAAATTGTTTTATTCAATTAACTAGCTGTTGCAAGGCACTGTTTGCGAATCAGAATCGAAGGCTAAAATATAATTAGGTTATGTACGTACTTTACAAACAAAGGCACACCCAGTAGGTAGGATTATAGAGTAGTCCTTATTCCTTTAGCAGAGCTATAATCCTTTTAAAAGCGTGATCAATACAGAGCGACACTCTGTAGGTCGATTCCCTTGCGTTTCCGCGTGTCGTAGTCTATTTCCGAGACAAGCCTCGCCGCTGTTTCGCCTCACATCAAAGATCTGTGTAACTATTTCGCTTGCACTTGAATTGCGCTGAGCGTTTCGTTCGACAACGCAAAAATTAAACAATATTATGAAGTGTATATAAACATGTGTCTTTTTTATGTTCTGTATTTCGATTCGTATATTTTTTTTATGTTGGTTCGACCATAACTTCGTTTACGAACTGTTTTGGAAGATTATTTTTGGAGAAGTTGATATTTCCAAGTTGGTTGGTTGGAAGTCCAAAAGTATTTATAAAACAGTTCCCTTTAACTAAAACGAAGTAGATATTACTTTGTGCGAAGTAATTATATCCTTTTTTTAGTTATGTGTTTAAAATCAGTTATTTATTTCATTAAACACTTTAACGGTTTAAATGTGATATGTATTAGTTCGACTTATTTCAAAATCATTGTAACTACGGGAGATGTTTCGGGAGACAGTCAACCCGTGACCACATCGGATGAACACCTGCAAAGCATCCGAAACAACGGGCCGATGTTAAAATAATTTTCAAATAAGTTTAAATAATATATATCGCAATGTAACTGTTAAAGTGCTTATTTAAATGTGTACTACTCGCGTAATATAAACAACAGACAGTTTTCGATTATTTTTGTTAAAGTGATTTATGATTTTATAACGAATATCGCGTTTATTTATTTATTTTTAATTCTAACGCTCAAACCGCTAAACCAACGCGACTCCAATAATATAATATCACTTAATAATAAACAGCTTTTCCTTATTACAAGTACCTAAATAGGTAATAACTGATTCTCGAGCACGGCCATTATTCGTCACGTCCACACCGATCGCTATTAGCTCTGATTGACTCAATTTCCGCACAGAAGTGAAATAATTACATCATGTACAGGGGATCTGTGTACTGGACATGATCTAATTAATAAACGCCTTGGTTTCAGTACAAGGCTGCAGGCATTATCGCTCTTAAGCTGACTTGCGCAATTAGTAGGATATACGCTCGAACACAGTTCTGATTCTGGTATTTACACTGGCCACTGGGATGGCTTATATTCTTTCTTAACAACGCATACTTTCAAAGGAAATTTGGCGAAGATAGTGGTATCAAAACAATCGAGGCCCCTAGAAGCAGAGTAGCCTAACTCCTATTTTACGACTGGAGTTATTAATATTTTTATAGTCCATAAATAGTCTAAAAATGTTCATTTACAAGAGCACAGTGACCGAAAATTGTTATCAGAATTCTTACACAAATAATAGTACAAATTCATTTTCGCCCAAGTTAATTCCGTATTTTTAATTTCCTTCTTATTGATTTATTAAATCACGTTTTTTTGTGATTAGGCCACTCTGAATCTAGCCTCATCTGTCCTCCTTTATCACAAAAAAACAGATTTCTTAAATATTTTATTATTCTTAACAATCACTACTAAAAGTTTTCATACACAGTTTAATTTCGGTTCGCCCGCTATCTCTCGCTTACTTCTCATTGTTCGTAGAATACCAGAATAAGGGCCTTGGTATACGGAGCGTGTCCATTTTATTTTATTTCACCAACATCTTATAGAAGCCTTTCAAATTGATATGTTATTAACCCATTTTCATTTGTGCAAATACGATAACAATCGTATAAGGCCTAGTTGAATATGAGACTCCTCTGTAGTTTGCGCGAGTAGTACATTTTTGAATAAAACATTTTAAAGCTGAATTAAAGTTTAACTAATATATCAACGCATGTTTTAAACGGTTAAAGTTTTTAGCCCTTTAATTATGAAACTCGTGTTTTGAACGATAGATTACAACACGATTTTTTAAGGAACTTTAACCGACTATTTGGAAACGCTTTTATGCTTTAGTTAACTTAAACGTTAAACGTTGCGGTGCTTGATGTTTTTTTTGCGTAAACTACAAACAACTTAGAAACTGCAGATCGTAATATCTATTTCTTTGTAGAAAAATTACTGAATTTGACTTCATTTTTATTATTTAAAGAACATTTTGACACGTTTCAACAACTTAACTCTTATTTTTTAATTAGAACTAATTTCGACCCAACAAAATAAAATCTTCAATTTCTTTACCTCTAACTTTGATTATTCTAACTAAATATAATCTTTCACGAGATGCAGATATTCTTATACCTGTTGCAACATGCGATCAAAATATTTAGGTGACGCGGACGCAGTGATCGCCAAATTCAATCTAAAAATGTGGACGCGGAAGTATTTTCTTACATCCAGCATACAATTAGAATAAATCTTGACACGAAGTGATGGAACGAGCTGATGAGCGTAAATTATTCGGCAAAATTTTTCGTTTGAATCTTTAGTACATTCATGCATACATAGGTACAATATAGCATATTGTATGTGAACGATGACGCATCGAAAACGCACGAAGTTATTTCGAATATTTAGAATAAAGAAGAAATTGAGCGAAATTTGAGTTCTCAAGTATTGTAAAGAGGCACAAAATTCTGCTTTGACGTCAGAGACACCATCTTTAGTGTTCCCGTGATCACGGCTGCTGCAAAGCATCCGAAACGTCGGCAGTAGTTAAAATAATATTCAAATAACTTTAATTAATATACGCGTTTAAAACCGTTTATAAAAATACTTTGTAAAGTAAAGAACTGCTAACAGAATTGTTATACAGTAAAAAAATAGCAAAAGCTTTACTTTTTTTGGTTCGTTGTTCCCAAGGGTAGCAATGTATGGTAATTTTCTGAAAAATTGTACTTCGTCTTTTCATACTAAATGGGTGATAGATTAAAATTCCGCCCGGATAACAAACCACGGTCCACAGAAGAAAAATCCGTGAAGTTTAATCGCGTCTCGTTTGCTATTTTTGGATTTGAGAATATCCAAAGCCAAAATACGTTGTCAGTGCATCTTGGTTCGAAGTTATACGGCTGGAGTATTTTACCTACCATCAAGGGGACCCCATGATTGCCTGTCCTCCGCTATCATTAGAAAAACTTTTTGCAAATAATCTCGGGGTGTTCGGGTGTGAGCGTATAAATTTTTGATGTTATAACTGTTAAACAGACAATATTTATCTTACTAGATATTGTTTTGCGTTTGTAACACTTTACAAACTCGCTGATCGATATAAAAAGTTAATGATTTTGACATTATTGTTTGCATTATGTCTTGTTACTCAATAAATATTGAATTACCTTCCTTGTAAATGTTCATCTATTGTTGTCTTAGCGCCAATTAAGTAACGTAGATCAATAACGATGTTACAAATTAGGGAAAAACTATTTTTTTATCATAGAGGCAGACAGACCAGCTAGTTCACTTAATGGTAGGTGATATTGATATACCCCAGCCTATAACATCTAAAGAACGCTGTCGACCTATTTTGGCTTTGGATATTCGGAAATACTGGCTGAAACCGAAATGCGATTAAGCTTCATTATCTGTGGTTTGTGACCCGGATGGAATTTTTATATTCCTACCATTCATTTAATATCCAAATTTGCAGGTATAGTGCAACATGTTTCAGAGGAATGATCATTGAAAAATTTGTAATATGTTGAACCTGGTGGGGAATATAATAAACCCGTTGATTATTACATACAATGCTTACTGTGTATTGTTACTTGTGTCTATAGTTTACGCGAGTAGTACACATTTAAATAAAACACTGTAACGGTTTAAAATGCGATATATTAGTTAAACGTAGCCGTGGTCGTGACCACGGCTGCTGCAAAGCATCCGAAACGTCGGGCCGAAGTTAAAAATCATTTTCAAATAAGTTTAACTAATATATCGCGTTTTAAACCGTTAAAGTGTTTTATTTAAACATACATTGCTACCAAATTTTGTTACGATTCTAAACAATTTTTTTAAACGGAAGCCGGAATCTATTGCGTAATGACCTACATGAACACATTACCCTTGAAAGTCTTTAACACCTAGATCGATTTGTTCTGCAATAATGGTAATAATGACTCCTTATATGGTATCATAACCAAACACGTACTAACTTCACATGATGAACAACAGGTAGTCAAATTTTGCCAAATTTATTTGTTGTTGAAAATTGTCACATATACAATTAAGCAATTTTAAACCTCAAGGGCGGTTACTTTAATATGCCCTAGTTAAATTTTATTTAACAAGATATTTCGCATTTCAACTCGTTACCTGCTTATATTTAAAATAATTAATGCATTTTCTCATTTCAGGTCGCTGATTAACATTAATGAAAATGACGGTGGTGGTTAATCCTGCGAGAACAGAAGAAGACGAAGAAATAGTTTCACCAACCGCTACGAACTCTAATGCGTTGGATTTACCGCTGACTGCACCTCCAGATGAGGCAGTCATCACTCCTTACCAGTACGCTGACTATGTTAGCCCAACGTCTGATATAATAGAAAATGAGAGTCTCGAAAATTCTCCGGAATCACCCCCCAATTTATATGACGATGAAACGCAAAGTGATATAGTGTTTGTGGCAGGAATAAATGACGATACATACCGTTTCCCTGGACACCGACGGGTCCTTGCCGCGACCAGCCCGGTGTTTGCAGCTCTACTCTCCGCGAAAACTGACGTCATCGTCGTCGATTACATCGATCATAGAGGATTTGAGAATCTATTAAGATACTACTATTGTGAGCCCACACAATTAACAACTGTGCAGACAGCTAGATCGACCCTAGATGCTGCTTACAAATTCCTATGTCCCCAACTTGCGGAGCGATGTGCACGCAAGCTAGACGAGATGCTGGATGCAGAAGTCGCGTTGGATATCATGCGGGATCTACGGTTTCTCTGTGCAAGACTACCAGGAGCAGCGTCAGCTCCACCTTTACCAGCTCTGTCTGACGATAGAGCCGCTAGATCCCTCGCCCAATGCGCAAGTTGGTGTGATATGCTTGCTCATAATACACTCCTTGTATTAGACGACAATGCGGATGCGGCACTCCAACACGAGAAACTAGAAGATCTGACTTACGAAGATCTAGCATTAATAGTCAAGAGAGATACACTACGAGTGTCAAATGAACTCGTTTTAATCGAAGCGTTATCACGATGGAGTACTGCAATTTGCAAGAAATACAAACGGGAGTTGACTTCTGCGAATAAACGGGCTGCTTTGGGCGAGCTGTCATACTGTCCTCGGTACTTACTTCTTCAGGGTGACGATTTGGATCGAGCTTTAGGTTATGAGCTGCTGGAACCCATGGAACGAGCTTTAGTTTTGGCTCGCGCGCGGAAATTATCAGCACCTATTCCTGTAGGTGCTCATCAAGAGAATTTGTTGCGTCGCTGGGCACGACCGCGGCCCAAAGAGCCAGCGGCGGCCCCAGTCAAGTTGAGTGTTCGTTCTGAGCCAGAACCCGAAGAGCCCCAACCGACGAAATTGTGTGCTCGACGCCCCAAGAAATTGAAACAGCCTAAATATCAAATAGAAGATCCATATTCGTATAGCTCATACACAAAGCGAAAGGGATGTTGCTCAAAATTCGCCGATGGCTTGATTCGGGCCTTCATCTGCTTGTTTGACTGAACGTCGCTGTCAAACGTCTGGTTCTAAATGTCAAATGCCTCTGATAGAGAGGCCACACTGTCACATAATAGGCCATTCACATAACATTGTGAAGAATATTCTCTTGAAATTTCTAAAGAATCATATTCAGGTAAATTTACTCTTGTGGTGTGTACGTATTGAAATCAAACGAAACAATTTTATACAGAATTATTTTTGTACTTAGTATACTTAACTTAACTGAGAATGTGGTAGCTTTTTAATTTTTATGGTAGAAGACTATTGGCTATACTTTATTTGTATCTATGATAGAAAGAAGTGTATCCCTATTTGAATAAGAATTATGAGTAAAATATTATCTTTCATATAATTAATACATCTTTACTTCGGCGAGTAGAACACTGTATTAAATGTGAGAATTACCTATTTAGATCATTTAGCTTAGAAATTCAAATTTCGTAGCTTAATTTCAAATTATATCTGTATACATAAAATGTATGTTTTTTTATGATATAAGCGTAAGTTTAGACACGCTCGTTAGTCTATTTATATGCATGGCTAATAAATAAGCCATGTAGGTTTGATTCAGGTTCAACTTCTTTCTAAATCATTTAAAAAAACTGTTGGGAAATCTGGATTTCCGAATAACAAAGCAAACATAGGCCGGCAACGCATGTTAATTTAATGTAAATCAAGTGAATACCAACCTCGTCTGCCCTCTGTAATATAAAAGCGTACAAATTGTCGAACAATTTGCATTTATTTATCTAAAGATAAAAATATCCTCCAGCAAAAATAAAAATATTGGTGCACAAACTTTGCTAGTTATATTAATTTTAACATGTATTAGCATTATAATTATTGCATTTACAACAAATATTGTTTGTTAGATTTTGTTGCTTAGTATGTATATTATTAAAAATGTAAGATTACTTAAATTATTAAGTAACCGAAAATGATCATGGATAATAATTTAATTAATTGGTAGGAAATTTTGCTTAAATACTACTTAAAAGCAGTAATAAATCCAAATTCAATTGTTTTTTTTATATAATTGTCTTCATTAAACGTTTCATAGTAATGTTAAAAATGAACGGGTCGTAAATTCGATTCCGACCAAGACATGTTTCTACAATTCATAAAATTTTCGGCGACATGTTGGGTGAACCACTGTCCACTGATGGAGGCCGTGAAAGACAGTGTAATCGCGTTTTGATTTCAGTCTGTAGATTTCTCAAATCCGACACCATTTGTTTAAATGTTATATATAATCCACCTCCTTCAAGTGAATACTATTTGTCTGTCTGTCCTCTGTTATAAAAAATACTGCTAGTCGTAATTTAAGTACATTGTTATTATTTTTAGGAGAATTTTTATTAGCAACGTTTTGCGTTTTTGGACGTCTCTATCTGATTATTGTGACGTCCAGAACATCTTTGTGCATAAATTTGTTTCTATGTAACGATCTTAGTGCCATAGTAGATTAATCTCTTCAGTAATTAGGCATAAACAAAGCGCAGTGCTATTCATATGTAAAAATCAGTTCATTAATTTTTTAAGGTCATGTTATACATTATCCACACAATATCTTACGGATATTTCTTTACTAGCCACTAGGAAGTCTATGTTACTTAACCAAACTATATTTAGTAAGAAGAAAAAATCACTAAGTAATCGATATTTTTGTCGATGGGTAAATTGTTTATGTTTTTCTAATTAAAATGGGTTTGAGCTGCCAAATGTTTACCCTACGGCCTTGTATACTTACTTTGTATGTATCTAATGCATTTAAACACTAATAAGTTACCACTGTACAATCAAATTGTACCTTCGAATAGTATAAATATCTATAAAATATATGTAATTAGATTATTTGCATTAAATGTAATCGAAAATTTAAAATCGTAGCAAATTATGTGAATTCTTAGCTAAGAGCTGTCTCTAAACCTGAGAAATAAAATTAATTTTGATGTTGCAAGTTTGATTTATTTTAATTCTAAATACCTATCTGCCTGTTGTCTGTAGTTTACGCGAGTAGTATTTTATATTTAAATAAAACATTGTCAGCGGTTTAAAACGCCCAACATACGTCACCGTACGAAGGTGGGGCGCCATCTAAATTAGAATATTTGTTTTTTTAGCTACGGCTATGAATTGAATCCGTATATTTATTTTTTTAATTGTTTCAACCCCCCTCTTAATATTGCTTTTAGTATAACTGTAAAATGACTGCTTCACACGTCCTCTTAAGATTACGCGAGTAGTACAAAATCAAATAAACCATTTTAACGATATAAAACGCTAACAAAGTGTTGTATATTGTGGCAAAAATTGAAATAGATATAAAGAAAGCAGAATTAATATACACCTTTAACAAACGAGTTCTTTCTAGACTGAAAACTGCAGGCGTCGCTGTCTCCTACTATCATATCCAATCTATCCACCCTGTCCACCATTGTAATAAGGACATCTTCCGCGACCTGTAAATCTTTTCTTAGCACCATCACTGTATTCTGAAGATCTAACATGGAATTAATCTTATTATCGACCTTCTCAAACTTAGTTTGAATGATATTTCGGGCTGTTTGAGTTTCTTCCACTTCCTTGTTGATCCTGGATGTGATAGCATTTTTTAATTCCTTGAATTTCTTATCGAACACGTTCGTTTCCTCTTTGCTGTCCTTGGAACTCTTTTCTCCTGTGTTCGTGGATAGAGTTCGGTATTTGTAGCCGGGACTACGGGATGTGTAGCAACTTTTATGGAATATGTCTGACATTACTATGTATGTGTAAAATTCAATCTTTTATCATTTTTAAATTTTTAAAGCTTTACAAAAAAAAGGGATCAATGTGACATTATTTTTTATTGTCACGTTTTATTGACAAAAAATCAAAATCTGAAGAAATGACAGTGTCTATACTGAACTTTATTTAGTGTATATTATTCATTACAACATAGCAAGAGCATAATTTAGTGATTGTATTAAACACAAAACATTGCTTATCATCAATATTTTAAGCACAAAATAAATGTTAGCGCCATCTCTTGGGAGAAAATATATTTAACTACAAATTAATGATATAAGCGTCATCTGTTGGCAATGTCTGCAATTTTTTGTTAGCATTTACATAATTTCTAATTTGCTCCACAGATGTCAGGACTTGTCTTTTTCTTTGAAAAGAGGACTATTTTTGGACGCAAAAATTTCTTTGTGTGTAATGAATGTTATCTATAGAGCTGCAATATTTAGAAAAATCGTTTAGGTATGTTTTTTGTTATATTAATATATTTTTCACGAATTAAAGATATTATTATTATTATAGACCGCAAATTTTATTGAAATTGTAATATACTTAACAATTGAACGTTACACTAATTAAAAATCAAAGAGTATTAGATTTCATATGCCAAGTAGTTCACAAAAAATACCACGTCTCAAATTTACAAGCGGACGGCGTCAAGAAAAACTATTATCCCTAAAATCCCACTCGAAAGCACAATAGACGTTAGCCAAAAACAATAATTTTAAATGTTATTGTATCCAGAATGGACGAGGGACGGACATTTTCAAGGCCATTGTGTGCATAGGACAAAGGACAGGTTGATAGTTGTGCCGATGTAAATTCATTTTTGATGAAGTGCAAAAGTCGTGTTTTTATAAACCCGAACACAATGCAAATCTGTCAAGCGATGCGCACGCGGGTCCAATATGTCCTTTGTTATGTGAACTGGAGCCTAATGACGGTTAGTGTGTGAATTGTGAATACTTGATTTTTTGTAGGTTCACTACAGTTCCTGCGTTCCCACACTATTTTTAGGTTTCATTAAGACACGGTTGTTTAGTTGATTGTCGAAGATTTTCCCTTCTTCTTTCTTTGATTGACCCTTTAGTTTTTTAATGTAAATATTATGTACATGGGAAACATGATTATAACTATTTAATCATTCTTACTGGGTTATTTCTTTTAATTTTATGAAACTATTTATGTTTCTAAATACTTTTAGTTAAAACCACTTCTATATAAATAAATATTGTCAATAGTTCAGTAATTTTACTGCTTAAACTTACATAAGTTTTTAATATTAATTGTCTGGTCACGCATATCTTGTGATCAGGTCGCCAATTTTATTTCAATCTAGTATTAGATTTGTATGTATTGGTGTTTGTGTATTATAATCGTTAATTAGTTTCGTTAATTAGTAGTCTAAATAAATATTTAATAGGTAACTTCTATAATTTGGCAACAATTACTGTACAAGTAATATAAAATCATTAATTACGCTATTAAGTTGTTATATTTGATTTTTCCGTTCAATTGGTCATAAACCCGGTACGTTGTTTATAATAAGTTCAAATTTGTCTTCTATTTTCAAACGACAAATAATAATTGGATGTGTGTATTTCTTTATTGACAGTTATTCAATCTTAAGATCTAATTTTAAACTACACTACCATACATATGATCCACAGATAATATTAATTCAAAACTACAAAACCAGACTATGGCACACCCACAGAGCTCGCATTGTTGGTGACGATAAATTTAAGGGAGGACATACTGGGAATGACACAGGTAGGTGTCCTCAACAATAATGGGCTCTCGAAATTCAATTGTATTTATTGCGAACCATTGAAAGCGACCCGCTTTTTCATAGCTTAGCGCCACCTAGACAATGTTTTTTTATAATTCCGAACGTAGTTTCGTAGTAAGATTTCTTTTAAACAGGTTTCTCGCCAGGTAAATTATTCTCTGAGCAAAAAAGGTAATCCCCGAACGTTTCGGTGAATTTTTGTCAAGTGTTTAATCCGTATGATTGATTGCCATTGGGTGGGAAAAGTCGGTTGCCTACATTTAATATTGTGTAATTGATCTCATATGCTCATATAAATAAGAATTTATTTATTCTTTATTTACTAACAATAATAATGATACAGAATAAAAACTTATATACTGGAATGGAGTTTAATGGGCGGTTTATGCTAACAAGCATGTCTTCCAGGCAACCTAAAGTTATAGATAGACATTTATAGAGAGATATGTGATGACTTGTTTTCGTATTAATTCTCGACCTTATTAACTATATTATTAAATTGTCTATTAACTTCAATGTTTTTTTACTACACACTAGTACCGAGTGACTTTTATAACTTGTTTATTATTTATGTATTATTACGAATCTAAGTTATATTTATGTAAGTCTAGTTACAAGTATATTGTAAAAGCTATACGTAAACAGCATTAAAAAGTTTTACATATGATTATTGTTATCTATGAAGTTTATACATTGTATACTATCTACTGTAATCAAAGCCTAACCAATGAACATTAGAGTTTCGGTGACAAACGTCATGTGTAACCGAAGCAATGGAACAAAAGTTGTACGTAGACAAAATTAATATTTTTTAATGACAGATGAAAACGAATGATTTGCACTATAAGATTTTCTAAGCATTCTTGACATATTTAACTTTATAAAGAAGACTTTAAAATAAAGACGCCCGGTGAAGCACTAAAGTAAAGATGGATATTATCTGTAAATGTTTATCTCAAAGTGCCATTGTAAACACAAAAAGGAGGTATCTACCGAAATTCCAAGATAGAAATTCGACACTACCTTGTCGTAATATAAAAAATGTAAATAATGTTGATGGCTCACCGCAGGAGTTAACTTTTTGTTATGTCTGTTCCGTGTTGATTGCTTTTATTGGCTCTGGCTACACTCAGGGGCCACGTACAACCATAAAACGCTCTCATTTCGATATTTTGTTTTTATTTCACATAGAACATAACGTTATAGGGCATGATGGGCATAAACTACTCAATTATCGAAAAAATATTTATATTTAAACGACATAATTGAACAAAAATAAAACTTTAATATTTTTCACATGCACTATATAAATTAAAAATCGATTTTAAATTTTTAAAAAAATACGACTCGGGCAGAGCTTCAGGTTACAGACTGAAGAAGGGGTAATGTTTTAAAATAAAACATTTTTTATATGTAAAAATACACTTGAGACTTTACTTTTATATACCTACACACGAAATGAATTAGAGAGAAAAGAAATATGCCTACATATATAAAAAAATAGAAAATGGTGGGACACGATAGCTAATTGACGAGCAACAGCCCCGATAGCAGTAGTTGTAGAAAGTCCCATTCGTATCGTATTTTTTTCAATAAAAACACTTTTTCTGTCTATAATAAAAAAAAAAACCTTTCCTTATAAAACATATTGTACACACCTCGTGTAAAATCACTAGCGGGGCAATTAGACGTTTGCGCACAAATAAAACATCGAAAACGTTTCAGACCAGCTTGCGCGTATCGCCGAGGATTTTTTTGAAGCGTGAAGACACGACGTAAATGTGGATAATGCACGACGTTAATTCCTGCCCTAAAAGCTCTAATTGGTCGTTTTTCTTGCGAGAGGACGCCGTCCGGCCGAAGAGCAAAAAGTGGAGCCGGCGCGGAATGCGGCTGGTTGAATAACCAGCGTTTGTGTGCCGGCAACACAATCTATATACAATAAACAAAGAGCGCGGCTTGCGTAAATACGTATCCATCTATATTATATATTATTACGTGTGTATTTACGCGGCGAGCACGTTTAAATTCCGAATGAAATTTACGTTCCCGAATTCTTTTCGAACGAACGATTGCCAACATAACGTCGCCAAGAATGTCGAAATCATTCAGTCGGGTAAGTGGGCAACGGAATCCGCCATTCACATCTTTAGATTCAGTTGGAATGACAAAGTTTTGGCAGAGCGAGGCGTTTTACTATATAGTACGCAATTGTCACTTTCTATAGCATATACTGTACGCATACTCATCAATTTAAAGTAATTAAAATGTTTAAAACGCGAAGTATATTAGTTGACATGTACAAAGTACAGCACAGTACAGTATTTTTTACACAGATTAATTATAACGACCATATAAAACCTCTGTTCTATATTTAAAATAATTTATTATAAATTTATACTCCTTCAGTTGTTTTTGTAATATTATCAAATATATTCCTGGATCTATAAACCCTGGACTTATAAAACCGATCCCCCCCACCCTATCTCATATTTTCACGTAACAGGTAAGAAAAATTACAGAAATATTTTACACGTTAGGTAATCAAACGTTTAATTATACGTTCACGATCGCTTTATTTAAATTCAAATAAAGTTTATGTCTCCTCAAAAAAAGTGTTTAATTAGTTTTACTTTCAAAGAAAAATTAATTATTTTTCGAAGGTTTTTTTAAAAAGTGTAATAAGGTATTCGCAAAAGAAAAACAATTAAGACAAGATAATAATTGTCATTAGGTTTCAAAGTATTTAATAATTACTTATGTATACAAGTATGTTATATGTTTATCGTTTATTTAAATATACTAGTATGTCCACCTTCTTGGCTCAACGACTGTTCGCGTTACTTAGCGTGTCCTGAGTTCCACGAGGAGAAAAAAAGGAGCCTCAATTCATTTCCTGTAAAATACTAGATTTTGAAACAGACACAGAAGTGTATCCGCTATATACACAGGGATTGCCGGTATACAGGTCTTGTTACAGGGATTTTAAAACTGACAGTTCAATTCAAACAGACAATTTCAAATTAAACCATATATTTTTCAAGACATTAAATTATAACAAAAAAATAAATAAAAACTTCAATTTTAATAATGAATAATTTTCCCTTGTTTTTATCTACATTCCCCACTGTGTCTTCGCTCCTATTTGTCGCAAATGTATTGTATCCTAAAGCCTTCATGGAT